GCAGTAAGGACATGGCACCTCCATCTTTACTTGGAGTACCTGGTAGTGGACTTCTAAAAAATAAATCTAAAACTGGTATAGCATCTGATGTGGTTGCGCAGTTGAAGTTGAAGCCATTGGTGATGCATGAATTATCAGTGGTTAGTAATTCTTATCTTTCTTCCCTTGAGATATTGTTTATTATCATCTTATTACAGGCTTATTAAAGCAGGGGAGTCCTCACCTGCGCATGCGTCAGATGGCCATAGCGTGTCATTGTCTACAAACACTTGTCTATCCATGAGCCTTTGCGTTTTTAGCGCACGTTGTTATTGTTGCTTGGGACTCAATTCCTGCACGTGCACAGGTGACAACCCTCTGGCAATAACAAACCAATGCAAAACTGTTAGAATTCAAGTGAACTTGAAAACCAAGTTTTAGTTTTAATTATGCAATTTGCTATTGTTCATCAATGGAAATATAGATTCTTGTGTTTTGAGTACTGGTATGGCAGCTTAAAAGGTTATTGAAACAGACCTCATGTGTGTTCTTATGGATGTGTGTGTAATTACATTTTAGGAGCAACAGCTATTTTACAAAGAAATTACAGAAGCTTGTGTTGGTGCTTGCGAATCAAGAAGATCAGTAAGTATCCACATAGAAAACAACAACTAATTGATTTTAGAACTGTAAACGTTTTGTGATACTTGTCATGTGTTATCTGACCATTATTTTCAACGATGATATGCAAATTAGTATTTTATTTAATGAGTGATGTGCAAATCAGATATTGGCGTTACGTATCATCCAGCATATTATTTGTCTCCAACATCATTTTGTCTGTTATTGGCATCTGATGTCATAACATCCAGGACACTTAGGTTGTTGAATACAATAAAAAGATGGAAGATACTTCCCGTACATTTCACCACTGGCGGGGGGGGGGGGGGGGTAATTTTGTTGTTAACTCGGACAGTTTCCACTTGTTGCATTCTGCTTTGTTCTTCTCTTGATATCGACAGGAAGCCAATAACTGTATAATATTTTCATATATAATATTTTGATATCATTTTTGAGAACATATATCATTCATCAGCAAAATCAGATAATTTTCAAGACCCCTTTACATCATTATAAGTATGAATTGTAAAAATAAATCAATAATATATCTGAATATACATGTAATTATAGTAATTGAAGCTGAACTGATTTACAAGTGATTACTGCTACAAGCTTCCTAGCACATTATTTGGATTCTGAATTAACCAATGCAATGATGTCACATTGTAAAACTCTTTCTTACTGAGATATTTACCATGGAGCAATCAGCCCACTGAGCTTTATGGCAAAAAAAAAAGATATTTGGAGTAGTGTACATGCATCTGCAGACTAATAACACATTGCAGTTTGAAGCACAACTCCCATACATGTATACGTGGAGATTGTGCCCTGTGAAGAGCAGTGTGTTCTTAGTTAACACTCAACACATAGTACAGCTAGTAATGTTAAATATTGGAACTGTAACCATATGGTATATTTAGAAGCTTGAGTTGTGACAGTTTTGTTTTCATTTTACTTCTAGGAAGCTTTACAGAGTCTTAGCAGTGATCCTGGATTGTACCAAATGATGCCAAGATTCAGCACATTTATCGCTGAAGGAGTCAAAGTTAATGTTGTACAGAATAATCTGGCATTGTTGATATATTTAATGAGGATGGTCAAGGCTTTGATGGACAATACTACAATATTTTTAGAAAAATATGTAAGTAGCATATTAGTGTGCAATACATAGGGTATTATACATCTATGTAGTGTTGGTAGAAATTAGTAGTACTTTCTATACTACCTTGTAGTGTAATCAGTAGTACTTTTTATACTGCCTGAGTGCCTTGGAGTAAAATAATACTGTTTCTTCTACCCACTCCATTTATTTCAATGTGTGGCCTCTTATCTGTTAATAACACATAGCTTGTGATGGTCAGTTGCATTCTTTGTTTTACATACATTTTATTGTTTTTTTTAGCTACATGAACTTATACCAGCAGTCAGTACTTGTATTGTTAGTAAACAGTTATGTTTAAGACCAGATGTTGACAATCACTGGGCTTTGAGAGACTTTGCTGCTAGACTCATGGCCTCACTGTGCAAGTAAGTTGTCTACTGTATATCAAACATTTATAATACCGTTTGATTTATACATGTGTGACCTGATATGTGCATGACCTGACCTGTGTTGACCTGATG